GGGGAGGTGGCAAGCTAGGTGCGCTCGCGTCATATCTGACATCCTACCCCTCCCTCCCATCCGTTACCATGGCGCAGATCCCCTCTCTACTCGCACAGTCGGATGTCAAGCAGGGCGATGATCCCGAAAGGGTACGCGATGCATTGTAAAGCACGGCGTGGCATGGCGTAGAAGAGCACCGCGAAGCGTAGTATCAACTTAGCATTGCGTTGCATGCCGTGGCATGGCACGGGAAATGACGCCAGCGCTGCAGCGGGAACGCGAGTCGAAACGAGCGGAAGCGCGGAAATGAGGCCAGCGTTGCAGCGGGAGCACGATTCGGAACGAGCGGAAGCACGGAAATGAGGCCAACGCTGCAGCGAGAGCACGATTCGGAACGAGCGGGGCCCGAAAATGAGGCCGGCGCCTCAACGAAAGCAGCATTTTGGGACAAATTGCAAGCGAAAGCCTGACTCCGTGGAAGGCTTCCCGGGCGCCAGAAGCAGAAATTCAGCTTTTCAAAACATGTGTATTGGAATGGCTTTTTTTCCCTACTTTCCAGGTTTACAAAGCGTTTCGTTTTTTAAAAAACCAGCTGTAAGTCCTTCTCTCCTTGTTTTCCGCAATTCTAAAGGTCCTGGAGTTCGTTTAAATGACCGAAGGCCGGTCTTTTAAAACAACTACACCTTCCCCGAGCATCTTCAGACCAACGCTCCGAGAATATTCTGAATGGATTTTGAGAGGATTCTGAGTGGATTCTGGGAGGATTCTGAATGGATTCTGGGAAGATTCTGAGTGGATTCTGGGAGGATTCTGAGTGGATTCAGGGAGGATTCTGGGAGGATTCTGGGAGGATTCTGAGTGGATTCTGGGAAGATTCTGAGTGGATTCTGGGAGGATTCTGAGTGGATTCTGGGAGGATTCTGGGAGGATTCTGAGTGGATTCCGGGAGGGTTATGAGTGGATTGTGGGGGGATTCTGGGAGGATTCTGAGTGGATTCTGAGAGGATTCTGATTGGATTCTGGGAGGATTCTGGGGGGATTTTGCGTGGATTCTGGGAGGATTCTGGGAGGATTCTGAGTGGATTCTGGGAGGATTCTGAGTGGATTCTGGGAGGGTTCTGGGTGGCTTCTGTATCATTTCAGTATGATTCCGCTCACTCTGATCGTTTCTGTACGTAGGTATTGTGGCTAAGATTGCCAAACTATTTCCATATCCATGCTCTTCATACTGATGCTGAATTTTATTGTTCGCTCGCGTTCTCTGATCATGCCTAATGGTTTCAGCCAGTGTCCCTACTGTAATTTGTGGGTGCCCGATTCTCTCGTCATGGTCCACATGGCAAATCATCATGGTTATCTTGCCCAGTTCGGCGGGTCAGCAGCATCAGAAAGCGTCGCATTGCAGGCACCACTCCCAGCACAACCCATTCTACAGGACAGTGCACCCTCAGCGTCGGCAGCAACTGCTTCAATGGTTCCTTTCGGCTCACCCCCACGTCCAGAGAGAGTGATTCTTCCTTTGCGCGACAGGCTATCTCCGACAAGCCTCCACAGAGTTTCCCCAGGATTCAGATCCTGCACAGGAAAATCGTTAGAGGAAATACTCAGTTGGATCAGCGAACGGGGCGAGGCAGGATGCCTTGAAGACTTGATCTCGCATTCTATTGTACGCCCGCTGGGCGCCTGCGGGTGCCGCGATTCTGCCCCGACCCTTCGACCTGGCGCTCGCCCAAGCCAGGCGAAGAGAAACTCAAAGCCGATCGCGTGTTCCCGATGCCCACGCTGCGACACTCGTGGGGCGGTGTCGCACGAGTGCGCGCCATTTGCATCAGATAAGAATAAATTATCTCTTGTATGCCAGATGCGCCTCGTGTGCCATTTTCTCGATGGTACTGCTTCTATGGCGGCTGTTGGGTTGTAAGAGAAGATATGGCCTGGGACTGTGGGCGAAGTTTACAAGCGCCTTCGGGGTCCTATCGTTCGCCATGACATGAACAGGCTTATGGTTTGCGATGCGGATTTAATAATGGATTTGACGTTCGGCCCTCACCGACGAGTCGCACACTATGGAGCTCCAGCACGCCCTCGGAAGGTAGACGCAAGTCCTTTCCAGATCGCTACGGATTTTGAAATGCAGAATGGCAAGCGAACTTCCATACCAGGGACCCTTCGAGTAAACCATGTGGCCTCGAAGAATGCAACCTACAATGCACATGTGTTGGGAACGGTTGCGAATAATAATTGTAGGATTTTGTGCAACCAGGGCTCAGAATTTGCAAGATTGCCGAGGCGATTTGCGAAAGCCGAAACTGTTAATCATATTATAGAATGGGTGACCCCAGGCGGCGTGAGCACCACATTCGTGAAACGCATCACGGGATATTGAAAAATCTCGGATCGCAGTTCGGATTATTTCACGGGAATGTGCCCTTGGAAGAAATGAAAAAGAAATGACAGGAGCTGCTTTGGAGGATCATCGGAGGAATCAACCGCAAAAGCGTGCCCTTGGGAGACAAAC